TGTGGTTTCTCACAGCTTGTGCCTCCGGGGATGGAGAAGTGCTAATGAGGAACAGCATTTCTGCTCATGTCAGACGCTGATGCCCAGTTTTTTAATTTCAGATACCCTAGACCCTGTTGGTGAGATTAGGTACCCTGCATTTTGCATAAGAAAATAGACTCGGTGCTACCAGAGTTCCTGATGAAGACCCTGAACTCAGATAAGAAAAGGAGAGATTAGGTGCAGGTGGGACTGGGGATGGAGCCACGCGTCCGTCTTTGCTGCAGAGCCCAGGAATCTCATGTGGATGCTGAGATGCCTGTTACTGCCATTTTACCTTGGCTTCCAGGTGAGGGAGCTGGAAGTGAAAGGTTCCCTTAGGGTGGGGCAGGGCTGGGGTGGCGCACGCGGTTGTCTCTTGCCTTAGTGGAGTGATGATGCCTGGGCCTGTCTGTCTGCAAGGTCTGTTTTTTTTTTTTTTTAACACAAGCATTTATTTCTTGCTGATATTAAGTCCTCTCGGAGGGAGCAGATGCATGGGTATATGTGGGTCCTCTGATCATTCAGGGATATAGCCTGATGGATACTCTGTCATCTTCAATACAGGGCTCCCATGCTTGCTTTAAGCATCAACACTCGGCCATCCAAGAGGGGAGGAGAGTACGAATTCATCTGTGAGATGGTTTTATGAGCCAGTCCTAAAAGTAGCACGTATCTTTTCTGATAACCTTCAGAACTCAGTTACACAATCAAACCTTTCTACGCATGAGGCTGGGAAAAGTAGATTCTGTGTGTCCCCAGGAAGACTAGAGAAAGGGGTTTGGAGAACACATAACAAATCTCTGTCACAGTCCCAATGTCTAAGAACAAATACAGTGTCATCTTTCTCCCTCGGATAGAAGCACCTCCTCCCCTCTGCAAAGGTCTCTTCCATCTCTAAATTGCAACGTCTGTTCTGATCGTCTGCACAGCCAGCCTTGGCCCCTCACCTTGGAGGAGAGGGGGCAGCAGTGGGAACAGATTTCGTAGTCAGTGTGCAGGCCATCAGGTCTTAAGTGACTGTTGATGTGGAGCTGGGCATCCTGTCCTTCAGTCTGCACAGGAGTGTGTGTGAAGCGTGTTAGCTCTTTCTTAACACTGAGGCCTATAGAAGAAAGGGTGAAAGGCGGGCGCATCTTTGGTGCCCTCTGTGCTCAGCCCCTGCCCGCCTTCAAGCCCTGTCCTCTGTATAGCGACCTGTGGCTGGAGCCCTTGAGCGGACTCTCACTTGGCAGGCTGTTGGTGCCCTGGTGCCCTGGTGACTCGGAGTGGCTTAGTGCCGGGCTCTTAGCTGGGCTCCGTGTTGAAAGCATGTATCTATACACACACACATGCCCTGCACATTCCTTTATAAACCCATGCATATGTAGTCACATACATTGTTTTTTGGGGCAAGGCTTCTTTTTTAATTACTGTTTTAGTTTGAAATAATTATAGACTTACAGTAAGTTTAGAAAGAAGTACAGAGAGGCTCCGTGTACTCTTCACCCTGTACCACCTCCGCCCCCAATGGTAGCATCTTCGTAACTATGACAAAACCAGGAAATCGACATTGGTACGATCCACAAATCTTACCCAGATTTTGCCAGTTTTATATGCGCTTGTGTGTTATACACGTATGTTCTTAGGCCTCAAGGTTATTGGCAGTTTGTTCTCTGTTATCACTTGAAAATTTTGGTCACATGACTAGACGGTGTGACCTGAAGCTGTCATGTGCTGGCACGTGCCATTTGTGACCCACATCTACAGTAAGAGAACACCACACTTTCTCCACTGAAGTGTGTGGGTTCTCAGCTCCTGCCTGACTCTGATTTGGTGGGGGAGCGGCTGAGGGTGCAGGAGGTGTGTTTGTGGGTTTTTTGTTTGTTTCTTTCCTTTCTTGTGTGTACTATTCTCCCATTAGCTTGGGGTTTCTCAGTGTTGACTGCACGTTGGAATCATACAAGTTGCTTTATAAAATAAAGATGCCTGGGCCCTGTCCCAGGGATTCTGACTGACCAGGTCTGGGTGAGGCAGGGGTACTGGCGTTGTCAAAGCTCCCAGGTGATGCTACCGGGTGACCAAGGTTGCACTGTGCGTCTCTCCAACTTTCCACTGACATTTTCCACCTGCCCAAAGCAGACGCCGGGCCAGGATCTGCCTTTGGATCCAGGTCGTCAATGACTCCTCATTTTAGCCTGAGACTTTTAGGTTTATAAATGTAGACAATGAGGCCCAGAAAAAGCTGCATTTCTTTCCTGGGTAGTCCTTGCAGGTTGGCCAAAAAGAGAACACAGACAGATACTGGCACAGGCGCTGGAACTGTGATTTAGTATGCCATTCATACTTGTTTATATTCATCCTTAAGATCTAAGTCACAACTACATGATTTATTTTAATGTTCTAAGGTAAATATCCTAGTTGTTAAAAATTTTTTGCTTTTTCTCTCTAGCCCAGACATGCCTATGAGACATGTGAGCACACATACAAATAATATTTCAGGGGTTGAGGTAAAGAAACTGAGAAAGAAGATGAATAAATCCCCATCACAGTCTCACAGAGCAATTTGTTGCTTCCTACTAGCTTTGGCCTTATGGGGGCTGGGCAGATAACAATCCTGGCAAGAAATTTCAAATGATTTGTTTGAAGTGATGGCTGAAAAACATCATTTGTCTTCTAATGGGATTGTCATTTTTGCTTTGTTTTCTTTATTTTTGTGTTTTGTTTTGTTTTGATGGACGCACTGGGAATTGAACCCAGTACCTCGCTCGTGCTAATCATGGTGTCTCCCACTGAGCTGTACCCACCTTCCCCAAATGGGATTATCTTTGGGGCCGGGATTTTAATAATAATACTAAAAAAAATAGCACGACTCTTTCCTCAGAGTCAATGAAGTTACTTTTGCCAAAAAGAGGCTTCCCGTGGAGCCCACGCTGACCTCAGTGCAGAGAGGACAGGCAGCCCGGAGCCGTCACGCGGGGTGTTCCTGTGACGCTGTATGGGCCGCAGCAGGGCACGGTTGTGCTATCCTGTGTTCAGTGGCTGTAGGGTTGTCACGTTGAATTGGAGCAGGAGGCACACTCCGGTGTGTGTGTGACGCAGGTACCCTGGAGCTGAAAGGCTGGTGCTTGGCAGAGAGAACCCATGACCCTGGCTCGCACTGCCACTCGAGGGTCAGAGACCATAGAGCGGGGCTGCGTGCCCTGGGCCCGGCTGGGACGGGCTCCCGCTAACACGTGGTCTGGCCAAATGACCAGCCTTCTCTGTATCTTCCCTATATTCCAAGAGACAGCTGCTCTTCCCATTTTAGTTTTCCTTTTCTGGCCTCCCTGTCCCCCCCACCCCCCTCACACTTTCCGTGCCCCTACCTTGACCTTCCAGAGCCTGGTGACTCGTCCGCGTCCACAGGCGACTTGATTTCTGTCTCTGCCGCCGCCCTTGGCAGTGGGTTGTGTGAATGCGTCCCTGCTTTTCGCTCAGTGTGTCTTGAAAATTGTTATTGTGACCTCCCGGGTCATTCTGGTGGGTGGCTAGACTTGTGATGATGCTGAATAGTAACTTTGGAATTTTATGAATCAAAAAGACAGAGCTGCCCCTGCCAGTGGAAATTTGTGTGGGAGAATGCCTGGTGTGAGTCAGGCAGGGAGGAGGGCGAGGACGATGTTACTGACACTAATAAGCACTTTGCTTTTTGCCCCCAGGTCCCCCTCCTGCCTGTTACAGCCCCAGTAGCCCCGTCCAGATTCTGGAAGACCCCAGCTACTTTTTCGCAGACTTTCAGCCCTATTCCGGGAGGCATGAAGCATCTCCTCTGACGGTGGAGGCAAACAGTAACATCAGGGAAAAAGCTGGTAAGTTCTTTTACTGGCACTTGCGTTGGAAAAGCAGAACAATCTTACGTTTCTCGTTTTTAGCTCTTTTGCTTAATTTTTTCTCTGTCCTCATTTTAAAAAATCGCATGTTGGATTATTGGTTGTCTCTTCATTGGTAGGTGCCTTATTTTTTTGTGCCGAAGTGTTGATAGAATATTTTATTCTAATATGTGACTCAGTGGAGAGAGTTCCTAAGTATCTAGGAACTTCAGAATTATACCATTTATTTCCTAATTTTTCTCTAGTTCCTAAATGTTCTGCTGTACCTTCCCAGAATCTTGCATTTCTTTTTTTTCTTCTCTGCTTTCACTTTTACCTCCTTTTGCAAATCATTCAGAAATTCAGAGAAATTCAAAACTACAGTAGGGAAGGAACTGCCTCCTTTGTAAAAACTTCCTGCCTGTTTTTGAGGCCTTTTGAGTTTGGTGAAACCGTGAAGGAATAAACCACTTTAAGGAAAGATCTCAAGGTTCTTGCCCAATGTGCTTACGAAAAGGGAACTGAATAGTGGTATGCTTGGTGAGACCCCATTCCTTTTTTATTATCATCCCCTCAAATCATTT